TGTACTGTACTGTACTGTACTGTACTGTACCAGCACATCAGAGATACCTTTATCTCTGTGTGTATTGGTGTGAACTGCTAATGTGTACAAGACGTGTGAGTGTGTGACAGTCAAACTGTAGGGGGCGCTGCTTAAAAAAACAAAACACTCACCAGTTGGAACTCGGCCCGTCGTGCGTAGGCCTCCTGTATCCCAGCGTCGGCCCACAGTGCACACAGGGCCGTCACGTACAGCTGGAACTCACTGGGCTCCACGCCCGGGGCCCCCACTCGCCCCTCCCACGACATCACCAGCATGCCCTGCTTCTCGTTCTCGCAGCTCTGCCAGCCGATGCCCAGCTTGTCCCGCGCGTCCACCAGTACACGCGTGCCCTGCACCGACACACACACACACACACACACACACACACACGAGGCAGAACGTTAGGGTTGAATCCACTGTAGTGGGTTAAAATCAACTGGGGGGGCGGGGGCTGTTCAACACACCAGACTCCCACTCCACATGTGGAGTGTGCGGTGGTTTGTGTGGTGACAACAACATGTAGACTGATCTGTGTGGGAGGTCTCTCACACACACACACACAGAGTGTCTTTTTCTTCTTCTCACTCCTTTTAATTTAAATTTTAATCAACTTGACTTCCTTCTTATTGGGCTGTTGTTGCCAGGTTTCACTGGACGTCACAAAACCTCAGATCAGAGAACAAAACTAAACCATTAAACAACTCTAAGAGTAATAACATTATTATTAAGAATAAGAATAAGTCTTTGTAAGTGCCACAGTCTGCCACTGGAGGCACCGTTAGGGATCTGGGAATTGGACCCAGGACTCTCTGCTTGTAAGGCAGACGTGCTAACCACTACACCAGGGGGTGTCCACACGTTGTTGGCCTCGGAGCTACTTTTAAAGTGATCGACCTACATTGATTATATTCAGTATATATTTGTCCATATATGAGCTGAATATACTTTATATATGAACAGATTATCTGTTGATTAACCAGCGATAACTAATCTACGGAACAACATGATGTAATATTTAATATCTGTGTTGTTGCTAATCTAGAGATTTAATATAAAAAAATCTCGATCTTTTATTGTAATTGTTCACGATCTTTCCGTGCTAGCTTTGCGATCGTGTCGGGTTCATTTTTCCACAGTTGGTCTGATCTAAACAAAATCATCACTTTGATTCAAAACTAAACTGACTTTGAAAAATGTCAAGAACAAACCAAGAACCTTCTGGAGTGGAACGTGTTCTTCACTTCAGCTCACAGTGATCTTGACCTTTGACCTCCAGTGAACGTACGGTAAATCGCTGACCACGAGACGTGGTTCCTGCTGTGTAAATTTGACACACGTGAGCTCTGACCGTGTGTGTGTGTGTGTGTGTGTGTTTATCAGGTCTAGCTAAACAAGTGGGGACACTGGTCTAGCTGTAGTAAAAAATACTATTCCTGTGGGGACAGAAGTCTGTCCTTCTTGGGACATTTTCAGTTCTGGACATTGAAGTTCAAGATTTAGTTGTTGGTGCTTGGATTAGAATTAAGGTCAGATTAAAGTTAGGGTGAAGATTAACATAGTAATAATGTGTTGTCGTGTGACTTCCCTGAGAATATTCTTGATAAAGTTACACTCTGAACGTGACGACCGTTGTACCAACAGTCCGTGAATCGTTTCCATCTGCGTCGTTACTCCGTGGACCAACAAGTCAGTGATCAGTTTCACTAATCTGTGTGTTTCCTTCATAATCCTCTCCCTCTCTGCTGTCTGTGCGTCTTTGTGTTGATGTGGTGTTTGAACAGTCGTCTGCTCTGCCAGGGTCACATCCCTGGACACTGACCGTGTCTCTTTAAAGAGAACTTTTTCAGTCCATCCTTCCTGGATTTTAGATCCTTGTCGAAGGAAACGACGTCTAATGAGAGATTTGAAGTCATTTCTACGTCTATTCCAACCAGGTTGTGGTTTTAAAAAAAACTCCATTAAGGTCAAGTGTATTGTGAGCTTGATTTTTAAAAATAAAATAACCTGACAACCCTGTCAAGTTTGACATCTTAACATGAAAGTGTTAATGGTTTCTATAGAGTGAAGGAAAAATGATGAACCTGAAACAGAGCTGAGTGATTCCTGTTACTACATGTTTGATGCTTCCTGTGAACTACCATCAGTTTATATGTCAGTTTATATGTCTGTTTATATGTTTGTTTATATGTTTGTTTATATGTTTGTTTCATGTTAACAGTGGAATGACATGATGCAAAAATCACAATTTTAACTTTGTGATTTTCCACAGTTGAGTGTTTGGGTCGTGGTCTGATAAGAGGCCATGACAGAAAAGCCACTGTACGCTGGTATCCAGTGCACACACACACACACACACACACACACAAACGCAGGCTGTTATCAAGTGTGTGTCTGGGCCGTGTGGCACTCAGGGCGGATGTGCTCATCCCTCGGGAATAGTCTGGTATTGTTAGCTGGTGAAGGAGGCCCAGCCATCGCAGCAAACAAAGACAGAAAACACACACACACACACACACACACACAGGAGGTTAAAAATATGTACTGTGTCAACAAACCCCGCGATGTAGTTAAAAAAGTTCAAATCTGCGTTGGCAGTGTAGCACAAAGATGAAGACAGACCAGAATCTAATCTGGGACTGTGGTTTTTCAGACCCTGAACTGGTTTTAACAAAGTAGAAAAAAAATATACGTCAGATCTGGACGGTTGGAAACAGAAAGTTACATTTGGACGTGAAACCATCCCCTGCTGCGTCAGACCAGGATGATGTCCCGCTGACACTGACCCCCCCCCCCTCCCCCCCTCCCCCCCCACCCACCTGTCACTAACGTACTCCAAAGATTCCGCTGGAACGTCTACCCTCAGGGCTCAGTCCATCAGGATGAACTTGGCCTCTGGATCAGTCAGGACGGGTGGGTTAGTTATCGATAAACAAAGAGCGTGGAGCTAGTCCCCTGTACCCTGCAAGGGGGCGCTACAGTATGACGTCAGTGCTAAATATAAATGTTATCGAGATTAACGACAGTAAACCGGTGGTCAAGTTTAACGTCAGGCTCAGTCCTGGTGATCAGTCTGTACCGCCTTAAACCAGCAACAACCTGGGGGGGGGGGGGGGGGGGGTCTGTGGAAATACTACAGAGGATGTTGTGAAATACTGTTGTTTTTAAACTAAATATATATCATGACACTAGATCCAGTTTATGATTAAACAAATAAATGTTATCGAGTGGCCAGAGTTCAATTAGGTAAATTTTCTAACTTTAAATATCGTGAACTCATGCAGCAAAAGAAGAAAACCAAACACTGCTCCACCAAATACTTCAGTTTCAATGATTTTAAAAGATTTCTGTTTACCTTTACGTGATAAACAGCTACTGTATAATTTTAAATCCCTCGGCATTGTTAAATTCCCCCCCCTTTAATTGGACCCCCCCCCCCAGCCCTATTACCCCCACTCTCTCTGTGTCCGCCTCTGGACTCAGTTCGTCTCAATCCTCGTTGTTTCCCTGAATCTTACCTTCAGTATATTCTCATAGATCGTGTCCCGGAAGTCCAGCAGGGCTTTCTGGTCAAACTCCTGTCCGTTAATAATGCGCATCTGTTTGAGGAACGTCGACTTCCCGCTCTCTCCGGCTCCAAGCAGGAGAATCTTCACCAACCGCCGCACGGCTCTCCTCTCCCGGGCGAGCATCGCGTCTATCTCCCGGCTCCTGCGCCTCGCCTCCCGCTCCTGCGCCGCGTCCCTCTGTCGGCTCCCCTCTTTGCCTCCGCCCGGGTCCCGGCTGGCGTCGGCCGGGAGCAGGCAGCGGCTCAGGGTGCGGACCACTCCCGACATGGCGAGTCCAGTGTTGGGAAAAGTTCAGCAAAACCCAAGAGGCAGTGTGTTCATGATAGGACCTCCGAGGTGGAACAGAGCCGGTCGAGCTACATCCACCTGATTCAGAAACACTTTCCCGGGCAGATGGTTGGATAAATGACGGTCTACATCTACAATGAACGGATGAAGAACCCGATGAGAAAGTTCTAGTCCCCGGCCGGCGGACAAACGGTGTCCATGTTGGCTAGACCGCACCATAAACTGAGATAAACACGGACTGATTGAAGAAGAATTTAAAAAATGAAGAAAAAAAAGAGAAAAAAGTTAAAAAATAGTTTAAAAGTTTAAGCGAAAATGCTGTAAAGTCATTGACGTGACGACTGAGCCCAACAACAAAACAACAGTAACGCCGTACGGAGAGAGAGAGAGAGAGAGAGAGACTATAGAACTAACAACAGAGACGTAGTGGGACGGTCACTGATAAGAAGGTGGGAGGTAAAATACACGGGGTTATCGCCAGAGGGCGCCACAGATAAAATAACTATAATTAGTAATAAAACCGCGATTAACCATGAAATAATCTATTAAAGGTTCAAATGTAAAAAAAAGAAACAAAACAGTTGTTTTTGTTCTTGCGCCACCAAGTGTTATGTTTTGTATTGCGTGTTAATGAGACGATATGTGACACAAACACTGTCTGATTAGGTGCAGCATCTACAGAGGGTTAGGGTGATAAAATTAGACATATACCAAACACCCCGTTAGCAGACACCCCCCCCCCCCCCCCCCCCCCCCCCGTCGTACCAACACTCCTGTCAGATGCACACTCTCTCTGCCTTCATGTTGTTGAACTCTTTGTAATTGTTAGACATCAGGGCGTCACTGTCAAAGTCTGAGAAAAAGAACTACGATCCAAAGGTAAACATTTAAGAGTTTGCTACATGTGTCATTTTCTGACACCTGTCTCCCATTTTCTAACAAGGCGGTTGACCTTGTCCGCCCTCAGTCTGGTTCTGAGATTTATCTTTGTTAACAAGGATCTTTTTTCCGCCTCACCACTGCTGCAGAGCGTTTGGCCTTTGTGTCACCTGTAAGGGTTTCTAAAAGTGTCTCCAGATAGAAGAAAAAAAACATTGATTTTTTTTCATTGTCAAATAAAATAGGGCATCAACAATAAACCTTTTTTCACTCAAAACCAATTTTCCAAACCTTTCGGCATTACAAGGATCCACAGGGAGAGAGCTGCAGAGAAAGACACAAGAAAAACGATTAACGAGTGATTAACGAGAGCACAAACAAAGTTAAACAGAATATCCTGTTTGTTGAGTGTTAGAAGGTGAAGCTAGATTACATTAAAAAACATTAAATAAAGAGGAATAAAAACACATGGCTCGTATGTAACTTAAAAATTTAAAACATTCTTCTCACAGATATGAATCCTTCTCCAGTAAGAGACAATAATTCTATGAAGCATGTCAGTCTAGATGAACATCTTAATTCATTTGAAAGAATATTATAGTTTGTCAAAAACAAATTATTATTACATATTATTCATATTTCTATTCTTTCTGAGTAGTTATAAAAACAGGAAACCAATCAGTAAAGGTTAGTCGTGTCGGGAAACAATTACTATATTTTCAGTTGGTGTAAAACGTTTTTTATTTTTGTTAGAAATTTATAGCGAAACGTACATGTAGTTCTCTGGTGTCCCGACAGAGGGGGCTGCTACATTACATTTAAAAAAGAAAAAAAAAAAGCCAGTCAGAATCCAGCAGGGCGCCTCCTGTCTGTCTTTAAGAAAAGTCTCGCTGTCATTTGGTCTTCAATTAAAACAGAGACTGAATGAAACGCACCGTCAGCAGGTGGCGCGTCAGCACTGAGGCAAACCGTGATGTTCTTTATTGACTCAATCATTAAGTGTAGTGTGGTGGAAGATGTGACAACACACACACAGACGTAACTCTGTGAAGTGACTCTAATTTAAAGCAGCAGCTGCAGCAGTCTGTGACTCTGTGAGTCTGTGACTCTGTGAGTTTGTGAGTCTGTGACTCTGTGACTCTGTGAGGCTGTGACTCTGTGAGTCTGAGTCTGAGTCTGTGACTCTCTGAGTCTGTGACTCTGAGTCTGTGGTCTCTGTGAGTCTGTGTGTGTGTGTCTGTGTGTCTGTGTTTATTATCCGTGTGTGTGTGTGTGTGTGTGTGTGTGTGTGTGTGTGGCGGAGACTGATGTCAGTACCAGATCAACACAGCAACACCATCTTTTTCATGTAATTAGCCTAAAAGCCTTTTCAGCAGACGTGCACCAACAGTCCATCACAAACACAGACTCTGCTCCCAGATTATTCCCCCGTCTCCTCCGGACGTCCAATCACAACACACTCCACGCTGTGATTTGATGGTTTTTTTTCATGTCTGTCAAGTCACAGTTTTTGGCTTCTTACTCTTTAGTAACCAAGAAACCAAGGTTTCGCTGCAGTCGCTCAGTTTTTACACACAAACTGTTTAAAGGTTTATGTTTTCACGTGTGCCGCAGTGCTGCCCCCTACCTGGGGTTTCTTGTTTTTACTGCCACTACATCTGTTATGATTCAATTGATCAGTTTTTTTCAACCCGTAAATTTTTTTTAATTTATAAAATCAATATTTTTAACAGATTTATTTGTTTTGTTTTAGGTTTTAAATTTCCCTTCACTTTCAGAATATCTTCTCTTTTTTTTTTCCAATATATGTGGCGTGTTTATAATTAAAACAAAATAATAAAGAGACCCATCCCATTGGTGGA